TTCCGGGAAGCTGGGGGCAGAGCAATTCTGCCTCCAGCTTCCTGTAGTCAGCCCCTGGTCAGTTTCAGCAGCAGCGGCTGAATCTGGAGCCAGTTCCGACTTACATACAAATTCAACTTAAGAACAAACCTATAGTCCCTATCTTGTACGTAACCCAGGGACTGCCTGTAGTTATTTTCTCAGATGCTTTATCTTCTTTTTTTTGGGAAGCTGGGGGCAGAGCAATTCTGCCTCCAGCTTCCTGTAGTCAGCCCCTGGTCAGTTTCAGCAGCAGCGGCTGAATCTGGAGCCAGTTCCGACTTACATACAAATTCAACTTAAGAACAAACCTATAGTCCCTATCTTGTACGTAACCCAGGGACTGCCTGTAGTTATTTTCTCAGATGCTTTATCTTCTTTTTTTTGATCTTCAGGTGTCTGCATTGCTGGGTCGTATCCCCTCTGCTGTAGGGTACCAGCCAACATTGGCTACTGACATGGGAACAATGCAGGAAAGAATAACTACCACTAAAAAGGGATCAATTACTTCAGTACAGGTATGTTGTTAAACAGGTGTCGTTATCCATAAAGGATTGGCTGGTTAGCTTCATGAGTAAAAGGTGAAGGTGGCAGTAGCAGTAGGGATGTCAATGTGTAGTTGAGTATCCAATAAGCCTAATCTAGTTGACTACTCGCATTTCTTCTCCCACCCCTTGCTGCCTCCGTATCAGACCAGTATCGGAGGCAGCAAGTAGGGGAGGAGAGCAGGAGCCAATGCTGGGGGAGCCAGTTTAAAAGCTGGTTTTCCTCCCCAGCACCAGTTCCACAATGCCTCCTGCGCTCTATCAGAGGCAGCCATGTGGAGGAGCGGACAGGGGAGGTTGCCATGAAGCAGCCTCTGTGCAAGGCAGGCCTGAACTCCCCATAGACAGGGACTGCTGCCACCCTTCGCTGCTTCTGTATCAGAGGCAGCAGTACAGGGTATCAGACAAACTGGTCTGTGAGGAGGGCTGGCTTTTACTTCACTTTTTCAAAATAACTTGTTTCAGGCTATCTATGTACCAGCTGATGACTTGACTGACCCTGCTCCAGCTACTACTTTTGCACATTTAGATGCTACCACAGTATTATCCCGTGCCATTGCTGAGCTAGGTATCTATCCAGCTGTGGACCCTCTGGATTCTACTTCACGTATCATGGACCCTAACATTGTTGGCAAAGAGCATTATGATGTGGCTCGTGGTGTACAGAAGATTCTTCAGGTATCTTGTTCATTACATTTCCTCCAATGATTTCCTTCAAGCTGCATCTAATTGAATGTTAAGACTTAGTGAAATTCAGCTTTGATATCTTGTCTTTTGAATAAGTAGGAGTATTAATGTATGCACACGTGGTATCAAGGGATTATTTAATTTTGAGTTGCCATCTTTCTCTATAATAGGATTACAAATCCCTTCAAGATATTATTGCTATTTTGGGAATGGATGAATTGTCAGAGGAAGACAAACTAACTGTAGCCCGTGCTAGAAAAATCCAAAGGTTTTTGTCTCAGCCATTCCAGGTTGCTGAAGTCTTTACTGGCCATGCTGGAAAATTGGTGCCTTTGAAGGAAACTATCAAGGGATTCAAGAGCATTTTATGTGGTAAATAACTTATTTTCAATTGCTTGACTTCTCCCATATTCAGAGCTGTATTCTGGAGGTTGTCCCCTTTTAAGGTTTGACACATTCACTTTTGCAGACTACATTATGCTTCATTAAACCTTGATGCTTTTATTGCTGCTTTAGTAAAACAGAGGTGGTAGTTTCACATGTATTGTGGTGGGACCTAAGGGCCAGTGGACACTGTGCAAACAAAGGTTTCTTCCCTCAAGAACTTGTGTGTGTGGTGTCTTTTTTTTTTTTTAAGTTTGTTTGTTTTCTAACATGTGGAGATATCAGGTGGAAATGTATTGGTAGAACACTAGACATCGATTGGCTATGCTATTGTGGAGGATAATGTGCAACATAAGGTTTTAAAAACAAGTTCTCAAGAACAATTTTATAAGATGGGGTGGGTTTGAAATCACCTTGCCTCCCAAATTTCTTCCCTGTCATTCCTTTGTCAGAAGTACTGAACCTCTCTGGCTCCTGCTTGCTCTCGCCCTTCTCCTCTACCATTACCCCAAGCTATTTGTTAGTCATTGTTTGTGTACCCTCTCCACTGTTCCTCTGCACATGTCTTCGTTGTGGCTCTAGGCGCTGTACCACTTGCTAGTCCAGGCTGGGAGCAGGTTTGGTGTTAGCCAGAGAGAGGTGGGCAGGACACTTCAATAGTTCAGTCCCTCTTCTTAGGTCCTAAATCTATCTCCTTCCTCTTAACACTTAGAACTGGACAGTCTTCTAAAATATCTGTCTGAAATATGGCTTTATTAATGAAATTAGAGGGAGTAATTATCTTAAGTAATTATTTAATTTCACTAGAGTAATTACTGATCCTAACAGTGCTATTTGCACCAGTGACTACATAGCCAATAAATAGTGTAGGAGGTTGCAATAGTGTAGTTTTCAAGCACAGTGTACTAATCATTGCTTAGGATTGTATTCTAAAAATGAGGCATAAATGGCTAGTCAGTGTGTGTGTGGGGGGGGGGTAGGAGAAATTCAGGGTTTTATATGCTTTACTTTGTCTATGTATACTGTTCATTCTGTGCTTTCCTTTTTTTAGTTTAATAGGAATCCTCTAAAAACTGGACTGAGATTTTTTTTTTTTTTCCTTGGCTATCCTATTTGTTGTTGAACAACATTAATTGAACTGTCAGAACTTGTTTGAGGTGTGTTTGGATGATGGCTCTTAGTTATGACATGGCTAAAAGCTTGTGTAGTGTATGAGGCCTGACTGAAAGAGAGGTGGTGAGATCTGGGTACAAAACATCTTTTTTTTTTTTTGGAGCTGCCTTTCTTTGTTAGATCTGTTTTGTAGGATAAGAGGTTTTTTGTGCAACTGCCGATGGATTAAATCTTTACTGACAACAACTGCCTTCCTACCTTTATACCAGGGGTGTCCAAACTTTTTTCAAAGAGGGCCAGATTTGATGAAGTGAACATGCGTGAGGGCCGACCATTTTGCCTGACATTCTTTGAACCATTAAAATTAAATGCAAATTAACTATTTTATGCAAAGTTTATTGCAAACGGCATACTTTTCATTTCGTCACATGGATGACAAATCTAAACAGGTGTTAAATCACTCTGCCTTTCATATCTGAAGGCCAGATGAAAAAAAAATCCAGGAAGCTGAAATATATGTCAGGAACATTGTAAAGTACATTACATATTATTGGTAATAAAGGTTGTCTGTCAACTTTTAAGTTCAAAAAATATGAACAGGAACATAACACCAAGTATACATGTTGTGTCCAAATATATTTATAACTGATTTAGACCAACTGACTAACTGAGATTTTACAATGTATTCCTCTCAATACATATGGATTCGTTGGGGGCCATAAAAGATAGATATTGCCAAATTACCTGTGGGGCCGTATTAAACCGGAACACGGGCCGCAATTGGCCCGCGGGCCGGACTTTGGACATGCCTGCTTTATACGGACCCTCTTTTTGCTTCCCACTTAAGCATTTTTAAAACCTAGGAAATAAAAACACAACTTGTAGGAATTAAGTCTACTTCCAAATAGAATACTTGAGACAAATCTGCAAAAACACTCTGTTCCTGCATTCATTGGCACACCGTATTATTGCCACTATAATGAGCAGAAAACCATGAACTGCAAACTGATCTCATCTTCATAGATATGCTACTCTTCAATCACCCTGTTCATTGCCCATCTGCACTGCCAGTTGCTTACCAGAGATTAATTACTAGTGTTAGGAAAAAGAGGTACACGAGGGGTCGAGTTAAGGTTGTATTGTCGTCTGCAACATACTGCTTATGATAAAAGTAGGTAGGTGTCTGATGGAGAAGTAGATATGTTGCTGGCTTCCAGACAGCTATCTTACTTGTGTATCAAAGCTTGGATAACAAAGGGTAAGATACTTCAGTGTAGTTAAACTTCTTGCTTCTGTACTGTTTATTACTTAATCTGGCCAGTAAAAATAGTGTTCACTTTGCTTTCTAGTTCTGTGTGTTACCACAGTTTCAAATACTTGAGTTGCAAATAGTAGTTTTTAAAATGAAACAAAGCTAAATAACTCGTGAGTCTAGAAAAGCATTGGATTTTATAAAAATACTTGCACTTTTAAAAAGTCTACAGTTAACTTTGGGAATCTACTACCTGTCAGTTTTAATCTTAACTGTTTTTGTATCTTTTCAACAATTGTCCTATTTAAATTTTATCGTAGGTGAATACGACAATCTTCCAGAACAGGCTTTCTACATGGTTGGTCCTATTGAAGAAGTTGTTGCTAAAGCTCAGAAGCTGTCTGAAGAACATAGCTAAACTGAACTATTTGTATGTGTTTTAAATTTTGGATACATGTATACTTTGTATGTGTAAAACAGTTATTCCAAACTCAGGGAATACTATTTTTTCACCTCTGCTGAAGAGAAGTAAAGGCATTTTTCACTTGTGAACATGCAGTATTATGTAAGTGTTCTCCAAATGCCTGTACAAAAGCCAGACCTCTTGTTAGTAAACGCTGTGATATACAGTTTCTCTGATTACTGGCTATTTTTGTTTAGATTAAGACTAAAGAATCTTTTGCTCTGGAAATAGTATCTTAAGGCTATCCTGAACATCAAAGTTAACTGCATTGAAAGTGACATTTGAAAGGTGATATCTGATTACTCTTGAGTTCTGGATACCAAAAATGGTGGTGGCTAACCTCATACTACATTTGCCCTGAATTTTTATACCAGACACTTTTTTGAGTTTTACTTTGTGGCTTTTTTTTTTGTAATCTCATTGAGAAATTAAAGAAACACAATTTTACTGTAATTAGTTGTATTGCAAATTGAAAACGTAGCTTGTTTGTTCTTAAATTGGCCTGATTAATAGTTTAATGAGCAAAAATTCTGGTCTTAAAACTGGAAGAAAAGTTAACTTCCAGTGGACACTAACTTTTGACCAGAAGATCAGTGCTCCTGTCCAAACAAAATTTAAAATATCTTTCTGGAAGTTGAACAAAATATTAAACAAGTGTATTCAAAAGTGGCTTGTGAGATCATTTAAAACATTAATTAAATTCTCAAATCTGAAAGGGTAACCTCTTCACTGCATAATTGTTGAAAGTTAGCTTGTGTGCATCAAGAGAATAACTGTTCTTTTTACAAAGAATGCATCTATACAGAGCATTCAAGTTTGCAAAACCTTATGCACCAGAAGGCACATAGAAATATTTTAGGTCTTTATTTTGGACTATTTCAGAATGAGCTAGCTACTCTTAGTTACATGCAGTATCTCATCAGTAACTGCAAATTGGTCTGTTTACAGACTGACTTATTTCATTCTTGAATAAAAAATAGGTTTAAGTGTCTAAAAGCATCATGCTGTGATGTAGCTCATAAAATAGGTCCTTATTTGTATTTTGCAACATGCAGATGTTACAGTACAGAACTGGTAAGCTAATTCAACATTGCTCATGTTCTAGGCCTAATAGAAAACATTTTCTGACCCAGATAGTCAACTTGGAATGATAAGTGCTAGTCATTGTCTTGTTGTTAGCCAAACGGGCTCGTTTCCCCCTGGAGCTAGTCAATTACCCTAAGGAGGCACGGAAGACAAAAGGATAAACGCCAAGCCCTTTATTTGTCGGTCAGCTGAGCGGGTGCTGTCCTCAACTCATGCCAGAGGGAGAGGCACCCCAAATTAAGTATACAGCACACTTTTATACCATGAAGTAAATGGCCTAGTTTTGCACTACAAGCAGTCTGATTACACAACCAGGATACATCTGCCTAGCTTCCTCTTATTGCGCACTTTGAGCACATGCAGCAAGCAGCAATGTGACTTGACCTTTTAACCTAATAATCCTTGACAGTATTTTATGGCTTCCCGCCAAGTAGAAATGTGCAAACCAAACTATATATTTTTGGGGGAGAGGGGGGAGGGGGAAAGGGGGGGAGGGGGAGGCAGGAATCTCTGAGAGCTAGGGGTCCTAAGGAAGTTCAGTCTCTCCATACCTCCTTGGCCTTTTTTCCCCCCTTTGAGGTCCCCTATTCTCCTAACATTGTGGTATATGATGCTGATAGTAATCACAAACAGCTAACTTACTCAGTTTGATTGGATTCATATGAATCTATAGGCCTGAGGTAACAGGTTCTAAAGGTGTAACTAAGTTTTTGGGGTGTGTTTTGGCTATGATTGGAGAATTCTGGGAGGGAGGAGAATTTATAGTCTGAGCAGTTCAGAAGATTGGTTTAGCATGTGAGGTCGTTTGGTGGTGGCTAATAGCTGTTTCCCTTAGCTCCTCCTTGATGTATAACTAGGTGATACTCACTTTTGTCTTACTCTTCAGGTTTAGAGGCTTGCTGGTGTGAGAAAGAAGGGAGTCTTTCTGTGTGTGATCTAGGAACATAGCTTTCCTAAGTTATATATTAAGTCATCTTAACACTTTTTCCTTGCTGATACTTGCTACTTTGGGGGGAGGGGGAAGACACACACATGCACACCCCTACCTCTCACTTACTTTAAGCATGAGGTATTGACTACCTATGAGATGGGCACAGGCACAGTTTCTAATGACCCCATGTTCTTGAAGTGTGTGTGTGTGAGAGAAAGCGGGTGGGGATTGTAACCCACCAACTTCTTACTCTTTGGTAAGAGGGGAGAATAAAAGTCACCTTCTGGAAAAAAGGCTATCTCTGAGCTTGGGAGTCTTCCATGTTACAGCCACATGTATTTCCAACAAGCAGTTAGATGTATATGCTATGAGTACAATTTAGTGAGTTACAATGTCGCAATAAATCCTTCATGTTAGAGCTGTCGGTGATTATAGGTAATTCTCTTAAGTAACTGAATGTTCTGTTTTCCATGGAAAAAGCTGCATGACATGAACAAAGGAAGCATAGACAGGAAACTGTCACAATCTATTGGAAATCACAGAATTTGTGTCCTAGTGGATAGGCCTTATAGGTACTTCATTACCAGTGTTGAGCACAAAATTAACTGAGACATTCAACTTCATTGTGTGGGAAATCACATCTTAATTTTTAGTGCTGTTTTGTACTGTTAATAGAAAAACACGAAATAAGACTAAAATTAGTTAAAAGTTGCAATTTAACATTTAACAATGTCATCTGGCTCTAAAAGTCTTGTCACCCATTTTAAAACTAACATAATTAAACTTGAAGGTGCTAAATTATTCTAATGACTACTGTGATACATTTGTAAGCTGAAGAACTCAGACTGCATTCTTTGTCTGGCTGTCATTGGAAACACTTATTAATAAAAGCTCTGAAATGACAGTGATCTGTGAGGCTTCTTCTAACCTTACAGTACAATATTACTAAATATTGCCCATTTAAAAAATGTACCTGGTATTCAGATCGTTAAATTTTTTTCACCCTACTATGTATTAGAGTATGTTTACACTACAGTGTTATTTCAAAATAACATGTCTAAACACACAATGCATTTTGAAATAGCACTGACTGGAGACAGAATCGGATTTAAGGCCAACCGGAACCAGGTCAGGCAGGGCATCAGGTCAGGAGTGTCTCTGTGTGGCTGCTGCCTGATGCCTGTGCTTAAAGAGACACCTTCCCCCGCCCCCTGGGCATCCGGTTCTCAGGTGTCCCTGCTTGCTTGCCTGCCTAGATGAAGGGCAGCAAAGCATTTGTTTCTCTTCGTGCTCTGGTTCCCCTCACTCAGGACACCACAGCACTCTGCAGCATGGAGCCGGAGCCGCCCCAGGCTCTCTGGTGCTTCTCCTGGATGTGTGGCTGCGAGCCTGGCTGCACTTTCTGCAGGCTGCCATCCAGGAGGTCCATCGGGAAGTCAGTATGCAGGAGGAGAGCTTTCACCCTGAGGAGCACTAAGAGCCTCCCTGGTCTGCCCCACTAGGGGCTTGTGCCTCATTTACCCTTCCCTAACACCCTTCCTGATGTCAAATAAAATATGTGTATTTTCATGAACACACCCACTCTTTATTTAATAAAACTGGAGGGTGGTAGAAATGAAACTCTGGTGAGAGTGGGGAAAGGATGCAGGGGAGGGGAGAAACCTGGGAGCTGGAAGGGGGAAGCAAGGGGGAGGGGAAGCCTGGGGTTGGGGGTCTCTCCAGACCAACTTGATTTTCATGCAAACCTGTTCCTGGGTTTGTATGGGGCCTTTGGTGGCCAGGCTGGCAGCTATTCTGCCATAGTTGGCCGTGTTCCTCTGTCTAGTGCGGAGATCATGGACATTGGGGGCATCCCCTCCTCCCAAACCTGAATAGGTCCATGATCTCCACCCTGGACCAGGAAGGTGCCTGCCTTCTCCGGGCCCTGGCAGGCTCCTAGGAGCTGGCAGACTGGTCCTGGGGAGAGGTGAAGGGCTGGCTGCCAGTGGCTTGCTGGCTCATGTTTTGAGGCCACTGGGTTGGGGCAATGACTGCTGGCTCTGGGCTGGCAGGCTTGAAGCTGGCACAGGCAGTGCGGCCAGAGTCAACCCCTATAAGGGCTCCGGAGAGAGAGAGGAGTGTTCTTGGTTGAGGCTGGAGTGGCCACCAGGGCACCCTTGGAAGGCTGAAGGCTTCCTATTTTGATAAAGTGTCTACACTCCACTTATTTTGAAATAGTTATTTTGAATTTGGTTTTATTCCTCATGGAATGAGGTTTACCAAATTCAAAATAAGCGCTCTATTTTGAATTTCAAAATAGTGGTTTGGCTGTGTAGACGCTAGTAAAGTTATTTTGAAATAAGGGCTGTTACTTTGAAATAACTTTGCTGTGTAGACATACCTGTAGAGATGTTGTTTGCTTTTTGCCAGCAGATGGCCCCCTACTTCACAAAACCAACTTCCTACCATCCCACCCACAGTTGCTTGGGTCCATAACTCAATTTTTTGTCATTTTCAATCAGTGCACTGGGATGGGGTTGGAGAGAAGGGGTTTGGGATGCAGGCTGTCTGGGGGGGGCGGAGGGGTGTATGTGTGGGGGGGGGGAGGAAGGAACTACCCATTGCTCTCACTGTAGCTAGTTGGGGCCAGGTGAGAAGTGCTTCTGCAAGGCTGTTGGAAGCCCAGTGGACACAGCTGGGGGAGGGGTGCATGTCCAAGTTTGTCTACCCTCTGCACTCTCCAGCCAGAGTGAGGATTTTAGGGGAGAGAAGCTTCAGCACCTTCCCCATGCCTAGGAGGGTGAGGGGGTTGGGGGAAGATGGCCCTAGCCAGCCACTTTCATCTGCCTAGTGACTTGTCTCTTCCCCCCGCCCCCCATGTGGTTTTATAATCTCATTCTGGGCACATCCCATTTTCCTAGCACAACCAAACCCTTACCTTCTTGCTCTCTTATAAGAGGAAGCTGCTTATTGGATTTGGTGGTATTAGCTCTTACCATTTAGAAGGATTTTTGAACTGAGGGATGCATGCAATCTCCATCTCTCTCTAATATATAGTAGTGATAGAAATGTAGCCGTGTTAGTCTGGGGTAGCTGAAGCAAAATGCAGGACAATGTAGCACTTTAAAGACTAACAAGATGGTTTATTAGATGATGAGCTTTCGTGGGCCAGACCCACTTCCTCAGATCAAATAGTGGAAGAAAGTAGTCACAACCATATATACCAAAGGATACAATTTAAAAAAATGAACAAATATGAAAAGGACAAATCACATTGCAGAACAGAAGGGGGATGCGGGGGGGTGGGAAGGGGGAGGAAGGAAGGTAAGTGTCTGTGAATTGCTGATATTAAAGGTAGGGAGAGTGGGATGTTTGTGAGTTAATGGTATTACAGGTGATAATTGGGGAAACTGTCTTGATAATGGGTGAGAAAGTTCAAAGACTTGTTAAGTCCCTGGTGGTAAGTGTCGAATTTTAACATGAATGACAGTTCAGAGGATTCCCTTTCAAGTGCAGATGTAAAAGGTCTTTGTAGCAGAATGCAGGTGGCTAAGTCATTTAGAGAGTGTCCTTTCTGGTTAAAGTGGCAAGAAACTGTTTTCTCTTTGTGATCTTGTCTGATATCTGTTTTGTGGGCATTAATCCTTTGGCGAAATGTCTGAGATGTTTG